GCAAAATTTAGAAAAACGGGAACTGCCAATGGTTGAGAATGTTCCTATGATAAAGTGCTTTAAAAGCCAAAACAGCAATCAAAGAGCTTACAGAAGAGTACACTGAAACAATAAAACAGCTCAAAGTAGCTCCCACAGCTAGAATGGTTGGATAAAAGAGAAGATTGTTCAGCCTGTCTTTTTCCTCCAAAAATCCGCCATTTTAGTGATTTTACCACCACTTTGGATGAGCGTTAATTAGAATCGCTTTATAAGTGCAAAAGGTCCATTAAACTCTGAGCATGCGCAGTAATCAGTCACCTGACATGACGCTGAGAATTCAGACAAGAAGCAGCTGCAGCAACTGTTGATAGTGGTAAGATAAGAGATATGTAGCTGCAGTTACTTATGTATTGATAGATAGAATCAGGTGTGTGGTCAGCTACTTTACTCAGCTGCTATAGGCTCACGAGTCATTTTGAATCAGTGAAGCATTGCTTTGACAGGTAAGGGATTTGTTTGTACTCATGGGAGTGGATTGTGTCATTGTAGGAGTTTATATGATAACATGGTTACAAACCCCTGATTTTAATAAATGTCTACCGCCCGTATCTAGATATTAGAACAATGATAGCAATCTGTGAGGGATTGGGAAGGAGAAGTGTGAGAGAAAGTTTATAGTATAGAAGACTGACACTGACTGGGACAACTGTGATGATCACTGCTTGTGTGTTTCTTTCTTGTGTACTCAATCTGGCTACTAGCAGCTATTGGACGTGTGCTGCCATAAGGCTTAGTTGTTAATCATGCTTCATTTCTTATCATACTTTGATGACACATTGTCAGCTCTCTTGGCCTCATACTCTCACTGTCTTTCTTGCTCATTTAGAGCAATCATTATTGTCTTTCACCCATTGGAAGTCTGATGATTGGCTGTCAGACTTAGCAACATGTTACTTTATACACTCTACTGTGCTCTTGATCTCAGATGGCTATTATTTGTTCTTCAATCCTACCGGGCCATACACTAGGCAAAATGTTGCCAGCAACTTTTGTAGTGTTGTTTTAGTATGGCAAAATAGTTTTAGTTATTGTTATCACTTCAAAATTGTATTTTAGTTTTAGTTTTAGTTTTATTCTTCCAGTGTTATTGTTTTAGTTTTAGTTATAGTTTTATTCACCAAACTCTTTCCGTTAATGTGACAACAATTAGTGTCAAAATTAGAGACATGTAAATGAACGAAATGACTTGACCAACATTACAGTGCAAGTATTAGTGGTCAAACCTCTTAATTATACTGCAATAATTTAAGTAGTTTCAAGTGTGCTATTTCAGTTTTAGTTTTAGTTAATGTAACACACAATTGAAGTTTTAGTTTTAGCTATAGTTAATTAGTACTAGTTTTAGTTTTAGTTTTAGTTATAAGCACTGAGAAAGTTGAATTTTAGTTTTAGTTTCAGTTAATGAAAACAGCTCACTAAAATAGGTTTTAGTTTTAGTTTTAGTTAACTAAAACAACACTAAACTTTTGTTGTTACTTTGTACATGTAAAGGTGGGCATCCACTATGCAATTTTGCTGCCAGTACCTTTGATGTGGTTGTGCAACATGTTGCATGAAGTTGAGAGTCTCTCTACTTCATGTAACATGTTGCCCAACCACATCAAAAGTTTGACCACAAGTTGCAAGCAACAAGTTGCCTAGTGTATGGAGGCCTTAATTCCTACTGTTGATGTATCTTGAGGTCCAGAGGGAAGCCACAGCATTTACTACAGCATTTACCAAATGAACTAGGACAGTTAACACCTTTGCATACTACATGTACATTTACAGCTCAAGCAGGGATGGGGTCAATTACAGGCAAAAAGGATTATATTACTATTACTATTACTTGTAAAAATACAGTTTGCAATTACTATTATATTACTATTACAGTGCACTGTATCTCTATTACTATTACAGCTACAATGTAATCTAATTACTATTGCTATATTACTATTACAGATATAATGAGCCAAGTAGGTTAGAGTTAAGAAAAAAATTATTTTCACTGAACATTGTACTGATAGTAGTCATATACATGTACATGTAAATGCATTCACAAATGACTGTTACATTTAATGTTCACGAGTTTCTCGAACTTGGTGTCAGTAAGCCTACAGCGATCTGGACGAAATACTTTTCCCCCAATACTAAACAGACGTTTGACTGGTCCAGACTAAGCTGGCTCTGACAGATAATGCTTAGCTAAAGTAGATAACCCTGAATATGTCGCAGTATTTGCTTTCCAAAAAATGAGGGAATGTTCTGTTACAGCTAAGCACAATCTAGTGTAAAATCTTACACCTACATGTACATGTCTAAATTTTTAAATAAACCAGGGGCAAAACCTTTGAAGCAGTCTGTGGTCTATTATGTACATGTATTACACAAAAAATAATACAATTACTTTGCATCCAATTACATTACTTAATTTCTCAAGTATCTATATTACTATTATATTACTATTACTGTAACAACTGTAATCTTTACTATAACTATTACTATTACTATTACATATTACCCCATCCCTGAACTCAAGGAAAAGAATGCAATTCATATACATATAGTTTTAAGCCTATTTTATGCTTCTGTTTGCACTGAAACTAATGAAAACATGATGAAATCTTGATAAAACGAAACATTGTGTTCAAAGTGTATCATTCAAATTAATCTTAAAACAGATGTGTTTTGCATGGTAGATGTCACATTCTTCACAGTACAGATTGGCTTTCTCACAACAGTTATCACACTCCTCTTTTAGAAA